ATATATATATGCTTGTGTATGTGTGTATGTGTATGTATATGTGTATGTGTATGTACTTATGTGTTTGATATTTCCATATAATGGTTGCGTGTGTATGTGTATGAAGTTCACTACAGTAAAAACACGAATTTATTGAGTGAATGTGTGTGTGTGGAGGTTGTGAGTTTGTTACTTTCTTTTGTACTAAATGAGTGTCTGTGTAGGGTTGCAAGTGAGTGTGTGTATTGAGTGTTTGTGAGTGTGCGTATTGAGTGTTTGTGAGTGTGTGTTGAGTGTTTGTGAGTGTGTGTGTTGAGTGGTTGTGAGTATGTTTATTGAGTGTTTGTGCGTGTGTTTATTGAGTGTTTGTGCGTGTGTTTATTAAGTATTTGTGCGTGTGTTTATTAAGTGTTTGTGCGTGTGTGCATTGAAGGGTTGACCTATACTAAGTACATAGTCAGTCGATTAGTTGTTCCCACATATCTCATGCACACACTCCTTTGGCCTCCTGTCTGTGTGCAGGGGTGACCTATATCAAGTACATAGTCCGTCGATTGGGTGTTCCCACATATCTCATGCACACACTTCTTTGACCACCTGTCTGTGTGCAGGGGTGACCTATACCAAGTACATAGTCGACAGTACAGCCGAAGGGTTTGGGTCGCTCAGTGCGGAACAGAGTGTTTTGACACGCCCAAGAGAGTTGGGGAAGGCACTCTCGCGCTATGCAGGTCTCACGGCAAAGGTGGTTGTAACAGCCATTGGCAGGGGAGACGATGACAAGGTGAGTGTGAGAGAGTATGGCGCTGGTGTAGTGGTTTGTGCGTGTGTGTGGAGGTGTGAGAATATGGGTGCGAATGGGGGTGTGAAGTAGAAGAGGGTGGTTGGGTGGTGTTGGTAAGGATGTGCAAGATTCATAACTTGGACATTCAGTTGTTGTATATGTGTATACATAGCCAACAAAAGGTATATATGAACAAAAATCACTATATATATATTTATATATTTATATATATATATACATAAATATATAAATACATACATAC